ATATATATAATCAGGTGTCACAGGTAAAACCACTTAAAAAAACATTTTTTTCCCAAGTTCAAATGAATTAGATTTAGGTGCTGCTGCTGTGTTTAAGCCAAGCTAAACATAAAACATTAAAACACACAACTAAAATATATCATGCCAGAATCCGGTGTCCCTGGAAATCTCACTTTTCAGTAACACCACATACAGCTTAAAGGAATCTCTCAAGCATGTAATTTAAATGATTGGTCTTTTTTCCATGTTGCCCCCAAAAGAATGTTATTTTTAAAATAATATTTTTGTTTTGTTAAATGTCCCCTATGACAGTGCCTAGCTCCCCATTTCTTTTTTGGCAATAGCTTGCCTATTAGTCTTGAAAATAGGTAGAATTCACTTCAAATGGATTTACTGACAAGTAAATTTTTGTGAATTCCGGACAGCATTCTATAAACGCCTACGGAATCGAACCCGGGCTGACTCACCCATCCCTACTGCTCAGTGTATACAGTAGATGGGTCCAAAATGCCAAGGGATTAAAGTCCCTCATTACCCGCACATTATCTAAAGAGGTTTGCCATCAAGTTTAAAATGTCCCACCATACCGTGGATCGAATGCGAGAATCTTGCTTTTTTATATGTAATCGAAACAATGAAGGGAAACATTTTAATTATCCTGCTTTCTTACCAGCAGGAAGGCACACTAAGGAAGAAACTTCTGCACCTGCATGGCAATGTAGCAATACTAACATCAGGATCTACAATGTCAACACAGTTGCAAATAGATTTATAAGAGGTTGCAGGACCATATCAAACACCCAGGCCAAGTTGAGCCACTGCATCACATCTAATTTCACCTACCACTGTGTTGCGCATGTATATACACTATATTTCCAAAAGTATTGCGACACCTGCCTTTACACGCACATGAACTTTAATGACATCCCAGTCTTAGTCCGTAGGGTTCAATATTGAGCTGGCCCACCCTATGCAGCTATAACAGCTTCAACTCTTCTGGGAAGGCTGTCCACAAGGTTTAGGAGTGTGTCTATGGGAATGTTTGACCATTCTTCCAGAAGCGCATTTGTGAGGTCAGGTACTGATGTTGAACGAGAAGGCCTGGCTTGCAGTCTCCTCTCGAATTCATCCCAAAGGTATTCTATCGGGTTGAGGTCAGGACTCAAGCTGTGCCTGCACCAGGAATCAGTAGGAGGAGACATGGGACCTGGCAGACAGAGTCAAACACAGCTACTCCCAGTTCCCCGGAAGGCTGATCCGATTAAAAAATTTAAATGTTAGTTCACACCAGAAACATCCCTAATATGAATATATTTGAATTCTATACAGAATTCATCCTATTCTGTTAGTGGTCATCAATACACACTAGTGACCCATTTACAGTCAATCATACATGCACATGCCAAAATGCTGCCTTCATCATGTTGCACAGATGCGGCATACAAAGATCATGGGCCCCTCCTTCCCTTCTCTATACTGAATTCCGTCGGGTACTGATGTTGGACGAGAAGGCCGGGCTCGCAGTCTCCGCTCTAATTCATCCTTAAGGTGTCCTATCGGGTGGAGGTCAGGACTCTGTGCAGGCCAGTCAAGTTCCTCCACCCCAAACTCGCTCATCCATGTCTTTATGGACCTTGCTTTGTGCACTGGTGCGCAGTCATGTTGAAACAGGAAGGGGCCATCCCCAAACTGTTCCCACAAAGTTGGGAGCATGAAATTGTCCAAAATGTCTTGGTATGCTGATGCCTTAAGAGTTCCCTTCACTGGAACTAAGGGGCCAAGCCCAACCCCTGAAAAACAACCATAATCCCCCCCTCCACCAAACTTTACACTTGGCACAATGCAGTGAGGCAAGTACCATTCTCCTGGCAACCCGCCAAACCCAGACACGTCCAGCGGATTGCCAGATAGAGAAGCGTGATTCGTCACTCCAGGGAACACGTCTCCACTTCTCTAGAGTCCAGTGGAGGCGTGCTTTACACCACTGCATCCGACGCTTTGCATTGCACTTTGTGATGTAAGGCTTGGATGCAGCTGCTCGGCCATGGAAACCCATTCCATGAAGCTCTCTATGCACTGTTGCTGTGCCAATCTGAAGGCCACACAAAGTTTGGAGGTCTGTAGCTATTGACTCTGCAGGCAGTTGGCGACTTCTGTGCACTTCAGCATGTGCTGACCCCGCTCTGTCATTTTACGTGGCCTACCACTTCGTGACTGAGTTGCTGTTGTTCCCAGTTGCTTCCACTTTGTTAAAATACCACTAACAGTTGACCGCGGAATATTTATGTATGTGGACATACATGTATATATTTGAGAATGCTCATGGATGTTTCAGACCCACACACACAGGAGATTTGCAAAAGAGAGGGTCTGTTTGGTTGTTGACATAGAGTGGGTTTCTCACAATGGAAGGTGCCTTCTAAACAGACCAAACTGGTTGTTGACAAGGGTATGGCTGCCCTGTATTGTTTCCCCATTATTCATATCACAATGGGATGGTGTTATGGGGAAACCTTGTCTAAAGAATCACGTCTCGATTGGTCAAGGCTTATTCACCATTGACTATTGATGGCAATTCTTGATGCTTTGCTGCCACCTAGAGGTGGGAAAGTGAAATACGTTGTATTTCGCTCTTATACAAATCTTAAGGGGCCCAACCCACAGGTGGGATGACATTTTCTCTGAATAAAAGCCAGCAGTCCAAACTTTCAGGATGGACTTCAGAAGAAGCAAGAGAGGACATCACTCTGACAAAGAGTGGACTCTAGAACAAAGGACTTCGCCACCAGAAACTGCAACGAGAAGCCATTTTCCTGCAAACGCTTAAGTGCCAAGAAGTTCTGTTCTTTACGGATTTTATGGAATATGCAGCCTCTAAACTAAGTACTATTTTAGTGTTTTCTCTCTTAGGAACCATTACATGTACTTGAATGATAGTGTAGTGGGTGCATGTGATTGTTTGTAGCAGTCTGTATGTTTATGTTTGTTTTTCCTGTAACTAAGTTTGTACATGCAGCATTTTCGCCAAGTAAAGTACTTTAAATGCTACTGGGTCAATCTCCTTGAGCTTTACTGCCAGAACAGACAACAAAAAATAGAAATTAAAGTTTTGCCAAGCTTTACGTTTGGGCTTGTCCTGGGGATAAGCTTTACATCTTTAGGATTTGTAGTCCAGAGCATAACAACCACAACATGTTTAAACTGAAAATACAAATACATTTTAGGACACTTCCTGTAGCTCTGTAATTTAACAGAATAAAATTTAAAAAAATTACCGTACCTCAAATGCCATAATGAAATAATCCAGTAAATTGGTGATGCGGTAAATTCTTAGAGATTCTATAGCTGAAGAAGTAACAATACCACCTGAAGCAGGCAATTCTACTAGTAGTGATATCATTGTAAATAGGTTAGTTGGAGGGTTATAAAGGACAAACTGTACAGCAAAGGCACTTGTTCCTCTTTCTATCCACCTCTGATTTCTCATTTTCAGTAATGTCGAATAGGCTTCAGTTCTGAGGAGTCAAGAAATAAGACAGAAAATATTCTGAAATGGAAGTATTGCATATGTACTGAAGAAAATTGACCTGAAGTCTTTAAAAAAATAAGATTTTTGTACTCACCATACAATCGTAAAGTCCAACAATTGGTTTATACTGCGACCTTCAGGAGGTTGGGACACCGGCAAACAAAGGACATTTAGCCAGCCTCTGTATAACCTCACCTCCAACCAGAGGCGTAACTTGAAACCGCAGGGCCCCAGTGCAAGAAACCATGAAGGGCCCCCTGGGGAGGCAATGCCAGCGGTTCCTGGGGCCACAGGGCGACCTCTGCAACCCTGGTAGTTCCACCAGTGCTGTGACTGACACTCCCCCCTCCAGGCCAAATCAGTGGTCACAGTGGCATTACCCACCCCTTTGAAGCTGTGGGGCAGGGAATGCCCCAGCTGCAACTGATTGGGCCCAGAACAGGGTGTGCCAGTCGCAGTTTTGCGTGGGCACTGTTTCATTTTTTTTTAAACTTTATTGGCAGCTTGCAAAGGGTACACTCCATTCATGTCTCCACACAGCAATGTGGTGTGATGTACTGCAGTGCCTTAATTTTTCCACACCGCACGTCACACATGTGTTATGGTGTGAAAAAGACACAATTGTTTTTTGTGACCTGTGTTAATCCAGTGGTGAAAAACACCAGTCACTGTACATAATGTGAGTGATCACATGCTAATATTCTGAGATGTATAAGGGATCTGGGCTTATGTGAGTAAAGGGAACTAACAAATCATTTCTTCTTACCCACAGAAATCAAATTCCATAGCATTGAAAAGGCCAGCTCTGAAATTAAAAGAGGCTTGTGATTGTTACTAATGGGAACACATCTTGATGTTAGCACACCCCTCCTATATAAGAACTTACAGTGGTCATTATATAAACACTCCTCTGATGTCTGTACAGAACATAGACCACTGCTGAGCCGATCACATAGGGAGATATGTTCAATACAGTAATTCCTGGCTGTTACCTTCAGCTGCCCAATTAACTTCATGAACTGTAAGTAAGAGATTCCTCACTGCATGACTCCCAGAGCCGGCTGCAGCCATCACACTCACGCTGTCTGATCCAAACAATGGAAAAGACTCCAGTGATGTCACTGTCATTTGACCAGGAGATGAGGTGGGTTACATGATGTGGAGAAGATCGTAGAGGGGTTGAAGAAAACATGAAAGCCCTCAGAAAATGCAATGTCAGCGGTTATCGTGGCTAGGCCCTCTTTTTTATTTCAGGCCCCCCCCAAGTGGCGCAACGCCAGGGCCCAGTCACAAATGGGACCGCTGCGACCCTGGTAGTTCTGCCAGTGCCTCCAACTATCATACCTAAGTTTTGTGAGCAAGCAGTACATAAGGTCAATAACACAGAAAGACGGGACCTGTGACATCAACAAAGATTTTATGAATGATGGGAGAATGAAACGTAAAGAGTTTGGCCTGGAATTAAAACATTGAGTCCAAACAATAAGGTATTACCGCAGAGGTGGGAGGAAGGAGTCACTTATTAAGATCAGCAGTGATCACTTGGAGGCGGAAATTCCAAGATTTCTGGGGACAGTCCCCGGATTCATTTTTTTGCCCAGTGTCCATTTCTCCTGGAGGCAGCAGCATAACCTACATCTCAGAATACTTCAGAAGTGTGTCCCTCAATGGACTATTAAGAAAACTCATTTACATTGTCACTAGGGAGCCATGATTTCATAGGTTTTTTTACACACATTTTACATAGTGAATGTATTGGGAAGGTCTTTGCAGCTGTAAGTGCCCAGAATACAATGCCCAGAATAGCCGGCTGATCCTAATTGCAGAGTAGAACATACTGCATTAATCAGATTATCAAGAATTCAGTGTAACTCTGGTAATTGCTGAAACACAGTCTCTTAAGGAGAAGACTGTGAGCACTTTGAATCTAAACCAGAGATGGTAATAAGGGCCAAGTATTCCTTCAGGTACTTCCCGATACCAATTACTGATACTTTTCTTAAAGGGACATGAGAATTTTTTTCTAAAACAATACAGACTAATGATTTTAGGGCAGTTTATTTATAATTATGAAGAACTGTAACTGTATGATTATATTTGTCCGGATACAAAACATGATTTTAACCAAAATCGTATTCGACTGTGCCAAGAAGCGCTTCTCATTGGTCATCGTGGTCACCTGACTGCACTGACTAATGAATGCTCGGACTTACCCTTTAATGTGCATTGTGCATGTTTGAGAGCAGCATGAGGACAGCACTCAGCACAAACACAATGCATTTGCATGCGTTTATTTGCATGCAGATGGTGGGAGGGTGGGGTTGGTTTTATTTTCATTTGTATTTTATTTTATTTTTTTACCTTTTTAACACTTAATTTTATTATTTTGTATTTTTTTACCTTTTTTATTTTATTATTTTGCATTTTGTATCACTTTATTTTTTTCCCCTTAACTTTATTATTATCACACAGGGATAAACAAGCCCCTATGTGATATAATTCGGAGGTGACAGGGTCTCTTTTGAGCCTGCCATCCAATACAGAAGATACAGCACTGCTTCCATAGGAATTAAGAGGATATGTAGCAGCCAGGTGCTGCTAATCAAATGCCCTTGATTAAATAATCATCAGCAAGGGTGACCACCTCTATAAAAGCTAAAGTTTTAGATGTTTGAAGGTCTGGACCATTCTGTTGTGTGTTAACACAATGCCGGGGAGGCATTGTGTTAAGAGAAGCAAGTTTTGCTGCCCATTAATTTCAGAAGGGTTATAAGGCAATTTCCAAACAATTTAAAGTCCATCATTCTACAGTGAGGAAGATTCACAATTAGTGAACAGGAGTGGACGTCTCAGCAAATTCACCCCAAAGTCAGACCATGCAATGCTCAGAGAAACTGCAAAAAAATGCAAACTCTATAGGCCTCAGTTAGCAAGTTAAATGTTAAAGTTCATGACCGTACAATTAGAAAAAAAATGGACAAGTATGGTTTGTTTGGAAGGGTTGCCAGGGGAAAGCATCTTCTCTCTAAAAAAAAAACATGGCAGCGTGGCTTGAGTTTGCAAAGTTGCATTGGAACAAACCAGAAGACATGTAGAACCAGGTACTTTGAATAGACGAGACGAAAGTGGAGCTGTCCACTTTATGTCCACATAATGCACAGTGCTATATTTGGCGAAAACCAAACACAGAAGATTAGCACAAACACCTCATACCAACTTTCAAGTACGGTGGTGGAGCCGTGATGATTTGGGCTTTTTTTTGCAGCCACAGGACCTGGGCATCTTGCAGTAATTGACTCGATCATGAACTCTTTTGTATCCCAAAGTATTCTAGAGTCAAATGTGAGGTCATCTGCCTGGCAGCTAAAGCTTGACCGAAATTTGGCCATGCAACAAGACAATGATCACAAGCATATCAGCAAATCTACAACAGAATGGCTCAAAAGAAAAGAATCAATGTGTTTCAATGGCTCAGTCAAAGACCAGACCTCAACCCAACTGAAATTCTGTAGCAGGACCTTAAGAGAGTTGTGCATAAACAAATGCCCGCAAACCTCAATGAACTGAAGCAACGTTGCAAAAATTCCTCCACAACAACGTCATATAGAAAATGATTACTTCAAGTTAAAGGTGGTTCTAAAAGCTATTGAATCATAAGGTGTACTTCGTTTTTCCACACATGGCTTCTCCATTTTGGCTTTATGTTACATTTTAATTACATGGTATAATACATCATGTGTTGTTCATCTGTGGATGTATTCACCTAATTGTAAGACCTGCTAAGGACCAGATGCTAAGGACCAGATGCTAAGGACCAGATGATTTTTAAGTCTGTAACGTGCAACCATAAAATTCAAAGAGGGTGTACTTTTTTTTTCTTCACACGACTATCTTGATTGAAGGAACAAAAAAAAAAAAAAAACAAGAATAAGATGGCTTTATTTCAGCAGAGCTGACGAAAAGGCATCCAACCTCCTAGGACACTTGCAAACAACTGTGGTATGGTGGTTGAAGGTTGGAATATATAGGGACTGGCATAACATTTTTTTGTTTGCCATTGTCCCAGCCTCCTGAAAATGGCAGTATAAGCCAATTGTCTATGAATTACAAAAGGCATGTGTCCTCCTAATGTATAAAAAACAAACAATGTTTTATAAACTTTTTTTTTAGATGTACCTTAATCTGCCAAGACTAATTACTGATCCTTGGTCTCTATAACACTGAATTTTGCCACACTGATAATATATTTGATCTGGAGTCTCTGTGGGTCTTTGTGTATGTAGTTTATGTTTCATTTCTTTTGACAGGTCATCAGAGGAAGTAAAAAATGGAGTTCCATGTATAAAATAAGAAATCTGTAGGAACAAAATAGTTTTAGTAAATAAGTAGTACAGTGCACAAGTACACTACATGTGGTCAGTTTTGTTCAGTATATTTTATATGCATCCTGTCTATTAAATATCCTGGACGGTGAAACATGATCTAAGCAAAAAACAACTTGGGGACTTTAATAAGGAGGTTCATCATGGAGGTAGATTGATCTCCTGCCTAACGATCATTCAGCAGAGCCAGCAGTGTGGGTCCATCGAAGAATCTCATCTCATCTCTTGCTTATTAAAGATGAACTATGAGGTGAGTGAAAAGCACTCTTCCTCATAGTTCAAGCTGACGTGTGACAATGAAACTGTCACACGCCGGCTCAATAGATCGGGAAGTGAGCGAACACATACCGTCGCTCGCTCACTTCTCGATCAACTCCCTGCAGAGAGCAGTGACTGTCAGTCACGGCTCCCCACAGTGATTACCCCCCTCCCGCCTCGATCCTCGAGCGCTGACTGGAGGAACGGACGGGGGAGTGGGTGGGTACAGCTGGCTCTGCCTCTAGATAGGCAGAGTCTGCTGTCCCTCAAGCAGCTTGGTGGATCCATCCCGGCTGCACCGGTCTCAGTATACCGCAAGCTGTAGCTTGCGATATATTGAACTTTGGGTCACGGGAGGACGCTGGTATATGTCCTCCCGTGACCCTTAAGAGAACTATGGGGAAACACTTACCCCATAGTTCTCTTTTAAGCTGTTGACTCCACTGACACATGAGATGTCTGTAAAGGAGCATTCTTTCTACTGACCACCAATGTAAGGGGTATTCTTTTTTACTGACTACCAATATAAGTGCAGTTCTGCCCATTGACCACCAATAATAGGGGCATCCTTCCCACTGACTACCAATGTATAAAGCATTCTTCCTACTGATCACCAATATAAGTGCAATTGTTCCCAATGACCACTAGTGTAAGGGGAAGCTTTTTCACTGACCACCAAGGGAATTCTTTCCCCCACTGACTACCAATTGAATGGGGAAGCCATCCCACTGATGACTTGTTAGTATACATTTTTTTCCACTAGTAGTACTGTTTAAGGTGTCTCTAAATACATAATAATATATTTGGACCTAATGAAGTATTGGTAGTGACTGTTTGCCTGAAATAACAGGGGATATGACTGAAGCGTTAAGCTAGCGTATGTGATGCAATGCGGTCACATAATGGAAGAAAACCTGCAGTGCACTAAAAGTCTCATAGTATCATGCATAAAAAGATAGCACAGGGTGATTGTTAGTTTATTGTCTTTATGTAAGGGCATTTCTGGCAGTGTCACCTCACATTATCTGCTTATTTTTTCCTAATATCTTAGCCTACCATTTATAAGATATCAACTGAGTAGAATATAGGAATGTATAGGAATATATACGCACATAATATATAAAGGTGATAAAATATTTTTCTCTAAATTTTGAATAAACTATAGATATGCCTAACTTTTTCCATGTTCTAAAGTTCGAATTCGAACCGAACAGGGGGGTGTTCGGCCCTTCACTAACCTGGACAAAAAGGAGGGTAAGTCTCTCCATCCAGGACAAATACAGCAATAATAACGCGAGGTTCTAACGTTTCCAAAGTAATTTACTGCTGTGTGCAATGCTTTGATTTTATGTTCTTACCATTTGATTAGATCTATGTACATATTTAAATTGTCTCATGATGGGAGCTCCTGTAAGAAAATAATTCCCTTCTAATGGTCCAACCTGCAGAAAGACAAAAGAAAACAAAAGTCCAGCATATGCAAAGCAAGCTGATTGAGCCATAAATGCATTTGGTTAGATCTATGAGTAAAGTAATATTTTCTAATAATAAAAATTATTTACTGTAAGAAAAGAAAATGATTGCATTGGTCCAGCCTACAAAAGAAGAAAAAAAACAGCAGATGCAAAACAAAGTAAATAAGCCATAAATACATACAATTAATCAAATTGTTCATGTTAATATTTTGTTGATAAATAAATGTGGTGTTTTAAGTAAACAGCATGTCACAGTGTGTAGTAGTTTGCATATTCATACCCTTTACTCCTTACATAGACACACAGCTTACCCATCTAGGACTTTTTTTTTTGGCTGTCTCTTTTTTTATCTCACCATGTGGCAGTCAGTAATCTATGGTATGTTTATAAAACAGTGAATATGACATACACCATACATTCGCTGAAGGTGAATCCTCCTGGAGCATGTGCTTTAAATTAGAGTGATTATTTACTACCAGCGAATGTTTGGTAACAGTCACATTCACTGCTTTATAAGTATGCCCCCCCAATGTCCTGAGCTTATGAATATGCAGACTATGCACTGTCAGCTCAATCCATCTGTGCGCCTCTGTAGTTACTACCCAACTGGAGTATTACTTAGGTACTCTGAGCACTCCTTACTGACAAGAGCCGAAAAAGGCACATTAGGTTTTGGGTAAGGCATTGCTTTGTGTTCTACAGGAATATGCACTACACTATCTTGCTGTATTTTATGTTACAGTTCTATTAATTTCATAGGCTCTCTTGGCACCACAGCTGCATTTGCCTTTGTGGGCCAGTAGGGTAAGAGAGGGCAGCATCAGCCCAAAAATGTACAAACTGGGTCCCGCAGTGCTGCCTAGAATAAAACGAAGGTCTCTGTGTGCTGCTGAAACTTCAGCCTGAGCTAAGAGCTATTTATCTGATGTGGCGCTCTAAAGACATATGGGGGAATCTTTGAAAATTAAAGAGAGAAGCTGATTGGCTGCCATGCTCCAGATTTTGTCTGCTCCAGTTTTGATAAATTCCCCCATAGTATCTCGTCTAATAAGTACCAATGAAGCAAACTTGCATTAACAATTCTCACACCTAACCTTGTCAATTAGGACGGCAGGCTTTATAATCCTTATTCTGAGCACAGCAATTTGCCAATGCATTGTTTGGGGTTTGGTCCCTTTAATTAAGAGACCTGATTCCTATTTGCCAATCCTGGTTCTTAATTCCTGGAATCTGTGTTTTTGTTACACTACTTTTGCTGCCGGCTTGTTTCCTTGTGACCTTGTAAGGGGAGTGGGCAACTATACGGCAGATGAGGTTTAATGTTGATAAATGTAAAGTACTGTATATACTCGAGTATAAGCCGAGTTTTTCAGCCCATTTTTTTTGCTGAAAAGTGCCCCCCTCAGCTTATACAATGCACTTTGGGGTTAAAATAGGCAAGGGGAATACACTTAATGGGTACTCCCCTAGGGAAGTCAGAAATGGAAAAGGATCTGGGGGTCATAGTAGACCACAGATTGAACAATAGCTTGCAATGCCAGGCCGCCGTAAACAAAGCAAACAGAGTACTGTGTTTTTAAAAAAAGGGAATGTACTGTAGAGACAAAGCGATAATTTTGCCACTAGTTCAGCCTCATCTGGAGTATGCGGTCCAGTTTTGGTCACCAATACACAGAAAGGATGTCCTTGAGCTGGAGAGAGTCCAGAGAAGGGCAACAAAACTAATTAAGGGGATGGAGGACCAAAGCTATGAGACAAGGCTAGATGATGTTCAATGGGGATAGCAACATCGGCCATAAACTTTTTACTAAAAACTCCATAACTAGAACTAGAGGCCACCACCTAAAACTGGTGGAGAAAAGATTTAACCACAAGGGGCGTAGGGGCTTCTTCTCAGTTAGAGCGGTTAGGGTCTGGAACTCGCTGCCTCAACCAGTAGTATCAGCTGAGAGTGTTGAATCATTCAAAAAGCATTTGGACCGTAATATACAGGGGTACAGGTACTCTTAGAACAAGAACACACAAGGAAAACCATGCAATCCGCAAGGTGCGAGTGGGGTGCCATTGGAAAATAATGGCACCCACAACGCGATCGGTGCACACCTGGGCGACTTCTGACCGCATGGCAATCCGTGCACGATTGTCGCGCGGTGGAGTGTCGCCTATGTGTGCACTGGCCCTGAGTAGTTTCTGAACGCTATCTGTATAAATAAAGGTTACATTCTTGCTAATTTATGTAAACATGCAACATGTTTCAACAAGTTCACCTCTAAAATGTATCTAAAGCCATTTTTTTTAGTTTTGAATAGAGTGGAAAGTTTACAACTGCTCTATTATTATTATTATTGCTGGGTCACTGTTGGGAAGATTCATTCTCTGTATATTTGTCCTACTGAACATTGTCACAGAGGCAGAAAGTAATGGGAAAACCAAAATTTTACAGATGAGACTGGATTAAACACAATGCATATAAACATCCACTTGCGATAAATATATCATGCAGCATAAAGTGAATTGTGCCTCCAGCCCAAAGGTGAATGTAATTAACCAGCAATTAAATATTCCTTTGTGTTCCTTGTAATCTCCACCTTCCACTCCCAATAGAATAAAGGTGCCCATACACCTTACGATGAAACTTTTCGTCCGATGATCGAATAGTCGTACGATTTCCGTACGGCAGCCCCATGATGCCCCGATGATCGCAAGATTAGTTTAGCTGTAATTAAGGAAAAGCACCTGGACGAATTGCGGTAATTGATTTGCCGTATTTTCATTAGCTAAAGCTCAGTGTAGCACGTACGACTTTTGACGGACAGAAACACCAGCAACCTTGCGAAAATCGTACGATCTAGCAAAGTTTTCAAACATGCTTGACCGTCAAAAGTCGTACTATTGTACAGTACTGTCGGTTGGACACTGCAATGCACACATATGATTATCGGCCGAAAAGTCGATCGCATACGAAAATCGTACGATAATCATAAGGTGTATGGGCACCTTAACTCTCACCTCTCCATGTGATGTAATTCTGCAGTGGTCAAACAGTTATAATAGTGGTCAAACAGTGGTCATACAGTTCATTGTTATACCCATCGTTTTCTGTCACAAATTAGGGCATGCATGTTCACGAGATTGAGGAGAAATTGTACTAAATTTGAACATTATGAACAACAGGCAAAAATTTTGAAGGAGAGATTCTGTAATAAGGGTTATGACAAAGATGTTATATAAGGGGAAATAAGAAAAGTAGGAAAGACAGTGAGGAGCTCCTATCTAAATGGGAATGGTATATTGGAAGCCACATCAAATAATCAGAAAATAAGACATGATCCTAGCACCATGTTAATTATGGGATATAGTAACCAACATCACTCATTGCCTTATATACACTTATCTTTCTCTGGATGTTCCCTCTTACTACATTTACCAAAGTTCAAAAAAATCTAATATCTACAGTACCCTAAAATTATTCTGATCCAGGAGGTACATCCATATTTATATCTGGAGAAGAGAGCTTGTTCTATTGGGAGTGGAAGGTGAAGATTGTGACGTACGCTGGGCCTATACACAGTTCTGAACCGAGCGTGGCGTCACAAGGCTGTGGAGATACCACTCTCAGCCTCATCCTGCACAGAGATTTCCCAGCTCGCGGGACACAATCTTAGGCCAGCAGACTGATATATACAGAAAAACATATTAATAAAAAGAGACTAAGGGGTCTATTCACGAAGCTGCCTAAGGATCTGGCCGTAGCTTCGGCCCCACCTTCGGCTAGCTTCGGCCCCAGGACCCCTTCTGTTCAGTAGAACCGAAGGGGTGCTGTACGGGCTATTCACAATAGCCCGTACAGCTCCCGATCATGGCCGAGCGGCTCAGCCGAGCCGAACGCATATGCATTGGCTCGGCTGAGCCGTGCTGAAAGCCGAAGCTGGACGAGCGGCCTGGCCTGCTTCTGACAGCTGGGCGGAGCCAGTCGTGATCTTACGGCAGGCTCCGGCCACTTGCTGTGAGATCAGCGTCCCTGGTTACCAGGGACACTGATCTCCAAACAGCAAACTCTCCCTGGCGCCCCGGGAGTCTCCCGCTCCCGGCCGCCAAGGAGAGAAACACAGCAGTGTCTTTTTTTCTTTATTCTGACACGATCGATGTCAGAATAGAAAATTCACTCGGCTGCTTTGTGAATAGACCCCTAAATAAAATGTATATACAACAGTAAAATAAAAGGGAATAAAAGGTGAATACTTAACAGTCCTGGTTTTAGGACTTCTGACAGAGTTCAGAGTTCAATAAGCAAAAGAGAGGTCTGAAGGGCTCTTCTTCAAGCAAGCTTTCAGCAGATGATGTCTAGAGATTAAAGGGAACTCTTCTGTGATGTTAAGACTTCTTGATGTTGCTGGGGTTCCTTTCTTGATGTTTCAAAACAAGAGCCCCTCTAGCTACCTCGGCAGCATCCTTTTGTCCGCCCTCTAGGAGGTGTCACAGAGCTGGCCCCTAGGGCAGGGCTGTGGAGGGAGAGCAGGAGGGACACGCCTTTATTTTACAATATCACCGCCCAATTCCAAATTATGAAATGGAGCTGTTATTGTAACTCAGGTTTACAACTTGTGGGTGAAGGTAGGGTCACCTGGGTCATTAACTCTACCAGACCTGCTTGTGTTTATCAACTTGTCCACTGGTAACAGATGAGTGCCTGGTGACATGCCTTTTATTAGGGACTCTCACTAGTGCTGGGCAATAACGATCACAGGCCAGATAAGCAGATCTCTGTTCTGTGGAATGTGAAGTGACCTGCAAATGACTTAGGCCTTGTTCACACCAAGTGCAGAGTGCAGGTGCAGAGCAGGTGCAGAGCAGTTGTAGACCGGATCAAAACTGCGTCTAATGTATTCCAATTGTATTTTTTGTTCCAGTTCACATTGCAGCGTGCAGGTCCAGAGTAGGTTAAAAAAACTGCAGCAGGCCCTATTTTACCTGCTCTGAATCTGCTCGGGATTGCATGCAAATGCATCAAAAACGCATGCAAACGCCCTGGAACACACTGAAAGCCCATTATAAACTAAAAAAAAAGTTTTTGTTTTTTTTAACCAAAAACGTCCCAGAACGCATCAAAAACGCGGCACAACCCACTGCAGAAACCTGAGCAGATCTGCTCTGCATTTGGTGTGAACAAGGCCTAAATGAGGGACAAGAGAATGCTATATTTAATAGCCGTAGACTCAAACCCCATTATCGTCACAGAGATTACAAGGAACACAAAGGAATATTTAATTACTGGTTAATTACATTCACCTTTGTGCTGGAGGCACAATTCACTTTATGCTGCATGATATATTTAATCACAAGTGGATGTTTATATGCATTGTGTAGGTGTGACTAACATGGACTAATATCATCTTGTTCAAGTATTTAATTTTGCTACCACGATTTAATGGATACATTTTGTTACTTGTCGTGAGGCACTACAAGTTTGATACAATTGTATACCACACAGCAAATGCTAAGTTTCACATATTGGATTCAGATAGGGAGCACATTTGAGAGTGCGTTACATTTTATCTATATGTTGTGGCAGTGCATTGCAATGCCACTGTGTAATCTCCAATTCAGAGTCCATATTTTGATAATGTCCAGGGCCTGTTGATGGCACAGATGTGCACAGCCTTTAAAACAAAGGTGTTGGGAAGTGTTCAGGGCTCCGCCTGGGAGACAAGAAAACTCTAGGAGTCAGAGTGGAGTCCAGTGCAGCAGGGTGCTGCGGGTTGAAAAAAAAAAACAGGTGTGCAGGTTAGCACATGACTGAGACTGTCTGGAGGAACAGACAGTGGCCTGAGGTCTGAGGCTGGAGCAGCGGTTCTGCAAATGCAAAGCATGGAGGCTGGATGTGCATGTGTTGCCAAGAGATGCTAAAGAACCCCTGCGAGGGTAATTGCATTGTTTTTGTGAACTTTCATTTAATAAAAGTGGGCAAGGAACACCTAGTGTCTTTTACTCTGTGCCTCCTTGCTTCCTTTCCCTTCTTCCTTCTTGCTATCAATTAAATACTTACTGATATTCAACTTCAGTTACTACGCCTTCCCCAGAAGCACAAGCTTCGCCACAAGCCTACCTTTGTATGCTGGGTTGTCGACAGAGCCAGTTTTACACTACGCTTTCACACGTCGGACCGTTGTCCGAGCACATACTTTATAATATGTTCAAGTGAGCTTCGATATCAAGCATGTTATGCACGTATGTACTTTGTAACCCATTCTGGAGCTACCTGACATATTTTGTATGTTTCACTATGCTCAATAAAAAAACTAATTTTTTTGTAAAAAAAAGAGTGGGCAAGGAAGCCCTTAAATTAAGATTTCAGCGAGTGGATGAGTCTTTAATGCACTACTGTTTGGAGCTAATTCTCACAATGTGTAGATCAGGTGCTGCAAGTAGTGAAAGATGGATAATGATGACTGCCCTGGAGCATGCACACATTTAAAAATATGTCCCATATTTCCATCTTGACAGACACCTGTAAGGGTTTCTAGCATCAACTAATTGTATGTTAAGTCAATAACATTTTGTTCCAGTTTTGCATAGAGAGAAGAATTACAACTACTGTGTTTTTACTGCTATTTGGGCTCCATTAGTGAAATTTGAGCCTCACGTCCTTCCCTGCCAGCAACGGTATTTTTATTTGTGTCTGTTATTGTTAGTGTTTTACCAGACAGGAAATGAAGGAATTTATCTGTCATGATAGGAAGTAAGGCTAAATTTCTGTAATAGAGCCCTGGATAGCAATAAAAACAGGGGTTCTAACCCTGACCTATACTCTATCCAAAACTAAGAGAAAAAGATTTGGCTGCACTTACAGTTTACAATCAAAAGGTCAGTTTTCTAAAACAAGAAATTGCAGATGTGGGAAACAGGCCATTACATTTACAGCAAACCTCTTTAATTCAGTCTGCCTCAAAGACATTTTCCAGTTATTGCAGTAAATGGGTTCCATTAATATGCTCTTTATTGCATATTGTAGATCAACCTCGTTAAGGTGCCCATACACCTTACAATTATCTGGAGATTTTTGTTTGTGGTCGCGTTTTTGACCACAAATCTGCCAGTTGATGGCAAGTGCACAACCTCAATTACCATGCAACTAGCAGATTTTTGTCGTTCAAGCAGGCTTGAAAAATCTCAAGATGAAAACTGCACATGCTCAAACAAATCTTTACTTTCGATCAATGAAAATCGTCCAGTTAGTGGTGCTGACGAATGTTAATTGTGAACTACATTTGTCTGTGCATGATGCGCTAGTTGAACGAGAATTGAACGAGGGTGAGATGTCTGGACAAAAAAAAGCTGTACAATGGTTGTAAGGTGTTGTTGAAGGTTAATGACGAATTTACCTCTCTGGAATATATATCATTATGTGAATTATTCCAGTATAGGCGGTCAAGTAGTACATTTAAGCCCCAGTTCCACCACTGATCCTCTGTTGTGATTTCGTTAAATAGTTGTACAGGGTTTCTGTGTGGAAAAAAAAAAAATCTCCGTTAGTAAATCAACATTGCCCTTATTTATAACATTGACTATGTTACTATTGTAAAACTCCAAACCAGAAGCATGCAAGCATAGAAATGGGTTAATACTGACCCCTCCTGCTGTCTGTGTTGTGTGGTGGGATCCACCTATTAATCCCAGCGGTGGTCGCGTGCTGGGCTGTGTGCATTTCAATATTTTTCAGCCGTGCAGCACCAGGCATTAACTCTTTGTTGCTCTGGCTACCTTTGTAGTGGCTCAGATCCCCTGGAATACTTTGAACACAGGGCTTTCAAAGTACTCATGGCCTCGGGCGGAATCTCAGCACATCGCCCCTTAATGGCAGAGCCCACCTCTGAGAGCACCCTGTGACTGGCATGGCCAGTATTGCCGTGATCTCTCCCCAAATACATTCCTTTACATTGCTACAGTAGCAGTCCAGCCCACTCCAGGAGAAACCCCTCCATCTTAGAGGTTGGGGGAAGGATCACTCCACACACAGAGAGCCTTTTGAACTTTTACTTAAACATCTTCTTATGTACAATATAATACAGGCTTCAGTCATCCCATTCACTGATGACTATACATTACTTGTTCAAGCACACAGGAATAGTTACCAGCAGAGAGGAGATCAATCGAGGTGTTGCCCAGAGCCAATGGAGAGGTATTGCCTAAAGTCCTGCATCCTACAGGGATGTGAGTAGTCCCATAAGATAGTGTTGCTCCTTCCCTCCTTTGCTTCCACCCTTAGGGGAAGCTGACAGATATCCATAGCGACTACATGTTGGCAGGCTTGGTCCTATGCCTTCCAATGCACCAGCCTTCTGTAAATCACTCTGGGGAGAAAAAACTGGATCAGACAGAAACTGGAGCAGCTGTGCATGGCAGCCAATCAGCTTCTCTCTTCAGTTTGTCCAGTTAAGATTTGAAAATGAAAGGGAGAAGCTGATTGGTTGCCATGCACAGCTGCTCCAGAATGTGTCTGCTCAAGTTTTGATAAATTCCCTTCTCTGTCTCTACTGTGCCATCTGCACACACACGGGCGGCTCCCCTGCCCAAAACTATATATATATATATATGGCTCTACTGGGACATAGAGCTCCCTCAGGGCAGAGCAACCTTCAACTCTAGTGACTCCCTCAGTCACTCAATATTGCTTATGGGCACATGTAATGGTAGATTGGCATACTGCAATCCTCAATCCTGCCCACTACCCTACATTTGCAACACCAATATTTGAATGCTTTCACAAACTACACTGGAATATCATAAGGCACACTTCAGGGTGTAAGACTTCATTAATGGGGATTATGATCAGCTAGTATGTGTTGATGTGACTCTGCTTTTTCTGAGGCTGATGACAGCCTTGTGAGTAAGACTGGATAGTGCAATATCCCTGATGGGTTAAAAAGGCAGTTGAAATACCGTTGGAACCAGATTCTAATCCTAGGAGCTTGTGCAGGAGAAGCCACACGAGACACCTTGTGCAATTGTCATAATCAATGAATGGGACGTAAGCTGTCTTTTGAAAACAATTTCACTTGCACTGAGATTTCTTCCTTGATAGTATTCAGGGGCAAAATGCTGATCTAAATCTGTTTGCACAATGGTTAGGATTTATCCCCTAGAGTATTTTCTGTGGTGGTATTGCCTTGCTTCAGACCAGACAAACTAAGCCTTCCATGTGTGATGGTAGACTTTGAGGGATGATAGATTTCTTGCTTTTGACAGTATGAGAATGACCAAATCCAAGTTGCCCCCGTCTCCCAAGACCTGGGCTTCAACAACCATGCCATCAAAGGCAGAAACCATGAAGCAGGGTGGTAAACTGTTCCTTGGGACAGACAGCCTGGTCAATCTGGGAGAGATCACGGGGTGTCTGTCAAAAGTTTGATCAGGTCAGATTGCCACGCTCCTGGGCCACGTGGTATGAGTATCACCAGAATGCCTTGTATCTTGATCCTAGGAAGTAGACGAGGAAGAAGTTTTAGAGATAGAAAGGCATAAATCAGTCTGTACCAATCCTACAGAGCCACTAAAGCATACACTGCATCCACCAGAGGATCTATCCACATGGAGACAAACCTGTCCAGTTTCTTGTTGAATATGGAGGCTAGAACTTCTGTCATTCCCCACCTGAGATAAAGGTCCTGAAACACTTCCAGATGTAGGGCCCAGTCTCTGCCAACCTAGGTAATCTGCCTTCCAATTCTCTATGCCTGGTATGTGAATGGTGGATAAGTCTGGAATCTGAAGTTCTATTCAAGCTAGAATTCTTTCTACCTCTCTTGCAGCAGCCAGACTTCTGATTCCATCCTGATTGGTGATGTACGCCATTGCCATGCCATTTTTAAAGTAATTCTTGTTCGGATGACCCTCCAGTTGGGGTGTCCAGAGAAAACCAAATAATTTGGGCTTTAGGACATTGATCGAAGCTGGGATTCCTCTATCTCCCAAGTCCCTTTCACCGACAAGGTGTCTTTGACTCCTCCCAAGTCCTTCAGGCTGGCATTCATTGTGTTGATGTTCCCTGATAGTGGGAGGAAGGATTTCACCAATTTCAGAACTGGATTCCTGAGCCACCATGCCTGAGATAACCTGGTTTTTGGTATCTGGCATATCAGATTTATTGTACTGATTTGTTCCACAATGACAGAATGTTGTGTTTTGGAGTGAAACTCCAAATTGAACTGCCTTAAACAGGTTACCATGAGGCCTATAGTTCATATGCAAAATCTCAGAAATGGATGGCTCCTGAATTGTAGAGTACAAATCTGGGAGTGCAAATTCACAAGAATTTCTTCAGGACGAAACTTTGGTATGAGTTGTTTCCAGGAAAAGACCCAGATACACCAGTCGGTGGTTGGGTTCTAGCACTGATTTATAAGGGTTCAGGATCCAATAAAATTATTTTAGGGTCTGGACTGTCAACAGAATTTTGTCTGTCAGGAGCTAAGCTGGCTGTTTTCTTCAAGAGAACATTCTTTAGATATCTCACAATGGGGATACCCCTGGGAATGTAAGGCCAGTACAGCGACTAGAAGCTTGATGACCACTTAAGATGCTAAGGAAAGGCCAAATGGTAGGACTATAAACTGGTAGGTTTGAGCAACTACAGCAAAACAAATATAGCATTGGTGTGGTGAAAAGATTGGGGCATGCAAGTATGCTAGAAAGTCTTTGTGATGAAGAGAGGCTATGACAGAGTTGGTGGATTCCATGCAAAACTTTTGGACTTAAATTAAAACATGTAAAGCTTTTAAGCCCAAAATAGGGCAAATGCCTCCTTTTGGCTTTGGAATAGTGAAAATGTTGGAATACAACACTAGAAACCTCTCTGTCTGCTGTTTTTCTTGCTGTTGGTACAATGATTATAACACCCTGGGTCAACATATCTGCAGTGGCAGCATGGAAATGTGCTAATCTGTGCAGAGGCACAGCCAGGTTGGACGACACAAAGCAGGGTGGAGGAAGAGTGCAGAAGTACAGCTTGTAACCTCAAGGCACTACATCCTTTATCCACGCATATGACACGCTTTTTTATCCAGGTGTCCGCAAAGCTTATCAAATGTTCCCCCACTTTGAAATGGCATCCCTTCATGCTGAAGAGGACTTGTCCGTAAGCTTGGATTGGAGCTTTGGGGCCCAGGGCTTATGGACGAATTGAGTCAAGATTTGGTATTTGACATCTGAGAGGAATGAACGGAACTCTTCTTGGCCCCAGAAGCAGGAGAAGTATTTCCATGTTGAGACCTAGGCTTCTTTTTTGGGTTTAAATGATTACTTTTACCTCCAGTGACATCCTTTATGGAGTTATCCAAAGGAAAACAAAAAATACATTCTCTAGCAAAAGGCAAGCAAAGCAAGCATTTTTTACTTGCCTGTTTTGCAGACCAACATTTCAGTCAAAGAGTTCTCCATATGCTCATGAAGAAGACTCTCATTTTGGAAACTAGAAGTGCAATGTTGACTAAGCACTTCTGCCCACAATAGTGTAGGGCAGAAGCTCTAAGGCTTTTAAAACCTAAGGGTCAGTGGTAATAGCAGCTGGATCCTGAGACATAAGTATAATCCATTCTCCTAAGGTTGAACAGATTGACAGGTAGGCTTCATAGCAGGGTCTACTTAGGAAAAAAGGGATTTGAAAGAGCTTCCAAGTGTTTGTCAGAAGAATCTTTAAACACTGGGGCATCCTCAACAGGAACAATCAGTGTTTTGTTGAGGCGTGAAATCACCGGGTCTACAGTGGTGACTGCTTCCTTTTTAATAAAGGACTCTTCAAACGGGTACTGTTCTGCAAAACGTTTTGAAGGAGTAAACATTTCATCAGGATTTTCCCTAATTCCATACAGAACATCCTTGAGTAAGGAATGTACCCTATGTTTTAACAGTTCTTGGACCTTAGAGAGATCAAAAACTGGTTACAGCAGATGTACAAGCAATAGGTTGTTACATAGTTAAGGTGTCTTTCATTATGTCTTACAAAAAAAAAATACTTTATCCTCCTATGGACACTTGATGGGAATAGGAGGAGTTAAACCTGGCTGGCCAAATATTTATTTTTATGTTTGACAGTGTCCACCTCCTGTAGGCAGCTGAGACATATAACCATGTGTCTCAATCTACTGATCCTGTGTAATAATAATAACCAAAATAATAATAACCACAAAAAAAACAAAAAACCTTAAAAGTAAAAAATAAACTTGGCTGCCACATTTGAAGGGTTCTGTAGTGATGGAGGCAGTGGACAGTTTTATAATAACATCGCAGTGTTTGTTATCCCTTTTCCTCTCAGCCCAGAAGTGTACACCTCCTTCCCCTCTCCTTGGGAAAACACATTGTACACGTCACTCCCAGAAGACTGTCTGACCATAGAGGCATAGTTACCAAGTGCATAGCTGTCAATTCACCCAAGAAACTCAGGACACATCCAGCTTTGAGGGGCCTCTCCCAGATCTCTAGGCAGTTGAAGCAAATCTTTACAAGAATAAGGTTTCCCCTTTCTAAGTAACTATTTAGTGCATGTTTTAATAAGTATGTGCTATATATGTTATTTAACCACCATCCTCTAACAGAAAAAAAGAAAAAAGAAAACCTTGTTATTTATTAGTTAGTAATTGTTCAACATTTTCCAGGTATGAGGTCTCCACATTCGCTTACCTTATAAATTCATTTCTTACTGCTTGGTTTAGAAGATATTCATTGTTTGAATACCTCCCAAATGTTATAAACACAAATATAGAAGTCATGATGATGTATGCCATAAAATCCCTAAAAGATAGAAACCATAAGGAAAATGAAAGTATAATACATTTTTTTACAATATAACTTAAACAAGTAAAATATGTGTTATTGATGTGTTGGTGCTTAAGTTGTTCAGCAGGTTATCTATAATGCCTAATATGCCCAAAGCCTTTTCACTTAGGGGAAAGGAGATCATCCATGTAAGATGGTTAGTATAGGGCAGTGGTGGTCAAATGTCTTGATATAGAGGGCTTTTGCAGCCCCTGACTTCAGCAAAGGATTGCACGTAATATTTAGTGAATGTAATGCTACAGAAAGCTGTCCAAAACTGTAGTAATGCCACAGGAGATGCTCAAAGAGTACTGGCATGTTACAGGAAGTGATCAGCGACTGCTGTACGGCTACAGAAGATGGCCAGAGACTGCAAGCATGCTATAGAAATTGTTGGAGAGTAGAGACATGCTCCAGTCATAGACCAGAAACACGTTACATGAAACCACCAGAAATTACTTCTGTTGGTACTCCTTTACAAATCAATGCTTCCCCATGTGTGCTTGGACCACCTCAAAATTACTTGTGCCACATTTAAAATGTCTACAGACATTTTTAGAGATTTTAGAGAAAAAGATAAGATTAAAAAAGGATAGAAAATGTAAAATAGTGTGAAAGAAATAAATCAAACCATTTCAAGCTGAACTCGGGGCCTTTGCAGTGGAAGCCCCTTGGCACTGCAAGGATTAAATGCGTCTTTTCTTTAGGGCAGCGGTTCTCAACATGTGGGTCGTGACCCAAAAGTGGGTCGCAACTCATTGTTGAGGGGGTTGCATCATCCACTTCTGCTGCGCTAGGTGAGAGGCTCCTCAGCCTCCGGGTACTGCCTCAAATGGAAGTTTTTGTGAAGGAAGTGAGAGTGTACACAGCAGTTCGTTTAACTAACCACAGCCAACTTTATTACATTTACAGCATTAAATGTACACTTTATGCAGCCTTGTAAAGTTTAAAGACCAACAGCTAAACCCCCGGTAAGTTTACAAATCTTTAACTGACAAAAACTGCTATGCTTAATAGCTAATACAAAATGATAGGAACAGTGTCCCTGAGTATTTCATTAATACATGTTAGGAGTACTATGTTACTGTAATTTATAAATGTTTTACATTATCCAATTCATCCATGAACTTTATGATGTATTAAAATGTTTCATTAAGCAGCCAATCATATTAAAAAAAGGGACATAGCCAGCATTCCCAGCATGCGTTAGTGTGTATAGAAATGAGTGGCATCCATGATACAGCATCCTTTAAAGGATCAATTTAAAGGACAAAGTTATATTTTCATTTATGTAGCTTGGCACCTAGGGATAAGTACTATCTAATTTATATTAGAGAATCCTTTGATGGTGATATAAAATATGCAATGTATTAATTAAAGTGCACCAAAAGGTAAAAAACATGCACATTCCCATGGGTGGTTCCATAATGTAGCCATATGTTGCAGAAAAATCTTACATTTTGAAGAAAAAAAATTGGATCATAGCACTTCCTGGTCAGAAGCATCCTAGGCCACCTTCTCCTTCCAGGTGTATCACAGCAGATTATTTCCATCAGTCTTCATCCCACTAATTTCATCCTGCCTACCTCCTTGGCCTTCCAGAAAACACATTTTTCCAATGCATGCATAATCCAGCAGAATGGGTCAGAATGTTGTTAATAATTATAAGAAAAGCAGCTATAAGGTACTGTACCTACTATCTTCATAATTTATGTATCTTATTATAGGCAACTCCCAAAAACTAATTTATAAAAATAGATAATAAAAAACTGGAAAGCGTTTGCTAGTCCTTAAATCACTAGTGTGACAAACATCCCTGTGCCATCACTATTATGTATAGCAGGATTTGTGACTTGAAATAATGCACACCATAAACTTTTCTAGTTTTCTTTGTAAGAAATGTACAATTTGTTTAACTGTGATGGATATACGGAGCATATTTGACATGGTATTCTTTACCTGAATATTTTCTTTACAACTGTCTTCCTTCTGACCTTGTCTCTGGCTATTTTTAGTTGAGGACGAGTGGGTGGTCGTGCCAGTCTTAGGTACCGAGCTCTCTTCCGGGCAGCAAGGATCTGTTTAAAGTATGCAATAAAATGTAAAATTATTGTTAAAATTTTCATGCAGACAACATCATTTTTACTTTTTTTTTATATATATTGAATGGATGTAAATGAATGTCCTAAAATCATCTCTTAACCCAGCTTGACAATATTGGTGGCAACATCTGCAGGTTATGTAACTGATCTGATTGAAACAGATACACCATAGCAGACCTTTTGCTCATTCTTTACACTATTATTTTTTTAACAGAGAAAAGACCAGTGTACCAATTTAAGCAATACATATAGTTACATAGTATTTGAGGTTGAATAAAGACATTAGCAAGTTAGTTAGGCAGGGATGGTCTTTCCTGAACCCATGCTGATTGTCATTAACTATCCCGTTTTCCTGAACAAATTCTACCAGATAATCCTTTATTATGCCCTCTAGCATTTTACAAACTACCGATGTTAGACTGACCGGCCTATAGTTCCCAGGTTGGCACCTTGCCAACCAACCAATTAAATCAGGATTCAGAAGACCATAATAGAGTATTCCATACAATCATTTTAGTCCAGAAGGTGGATTATTTATCTTAATTGAGTTTTAGGTGTGTTTCTGTTACTATAGTATCAGTTCACAGTGGAGGGAAACAGAGACAGTTAAGTATTGCATACATAAAACCTCTCACCCTTGTTTCGCATAGACCGATATCATAATAGCAGAGCATTCTCTCAATTCCAGGCATGTATGAAGTGATTTGGTAGGGGGGGGGGGGTTAAAATATTATCTGTGTTAGTACTGGGATTGCAAGAATAAATGCAGATCCTTTCGTGCCAATTCAAATTCGATTAGTTTGATCTGACTTGGAGCAGAAGTTGACTGAATTGATATTCTCTATTGCTGTTAATTATGCTTACATGAATAGTTTATTCTAGATTTTTACAAGGCAGTTTGTTTATTTTATGCTGCTCTAGGTATAGGTGAATTATATTTTTTGATGCCTGAATGAAGTGCTTTGCAATTTATAGGCTGTTCTACACATTAAGGTGTCGTTTTAATTTAGAAGTGACATTATTTACTTTTTTTATTATTATTAACTATATAAAAGTTTCTCATTGGTTGTGGTCATACCTTTTCAAAGTTTGATGTTTCGTGATAACTCTGAGGAGTTGCCGTTAAATGCGGTAACTGAAGATAATGTTCACCAGCAATATACTTTACATCTTCACTTAATGCTTCCACAAAAAAGTCAGTTCTTTCTTTCTTTCTCCATGCAACAAAAAGTGCTATGAGTAAAATCTGAAAAAATATATTACAATGTTTAGAAACTCAAGGTTTATTATGATGCACTAACTTTTTAGCCCTGTAATCCTAGTCACTAACAGGAGTTGGTTCTTTGCCTGTCTATGAACTCCAACTATTCCTGCAGAATTCACCTGTATTCTCTGGCTACTTGGGCAGTGTAACACTGCAAGCATGTTCTGATCCTGATCTTCCACTGGGCATTTCTCCATTTGCAGAAACTCCCAAGGTACTGTGGCAGGTTAACTTTGAAGTCCAGCCGTCAAATACACACTTCGCAAAGTACTTTTTTGCTTCCACCACTTCAAAAGCTAACACAAAAATGAGTGATCTAATGCAGAAACTTAACTTATGTCACTTACATCCACTACTTTGCTCTTTTTCTCATTATCCATAGCTCATAACTGTGGGTAAAAACATTCAACTGATCAGTAATTTCCAAGTAGTTTCACTACTTTTTGGTAGAGTAACTAGATTGTGTATGGATTTACAGTGTGTAATAATTTCTGCCTCTTAACCACTTCCGGGCCGCAATACGTCTATAGACAGCGGCCCGTTAAAGTGGTTAAAACAAGAACACGGCTTCTGCAGCAGCCGTGTTCTTAGTACCGCTTTTAACAGCAGGCGATTGCTGTTAATGTACAAGTGATCCGGCGCCTGTACAGCTGACAGATAATTTGTACCGTGCGGCGCCCCCCTCCCCCCCTGCCATTGGCTTCCCCGGGCACCGCTGTCCCCGTGCGGCACCCGGGAGCGGCTCGGCGGGTCTCCCCGCAATGATCGGAGATTCAGCGGCTTCTAACCGCTGATCTCTCCCCTGATCATTGGACCCGGAAGTGATGTGTATTACATCACTTCCAGTGTCACTCTTACAGTCTCCGACTCTTAGAGCCAGGAGATGAAGCTGACGAAGCAGATCTTTGCTTCCTCAGCTTCTTTGGGGTCCCTAGGCGACATTAGGGGTGTGAAAGACCCCTGATGTCTCCATAAAGAGGACCTGTCACACCCTATCTGCTATTACACAGGGTGCTTGTTTACACCATATATAATAAAGTCAGGCATAGTTATTTTTTTGCCATTAATATAAACAATATAAAAAGCCTTAAACATCTTACCAAAATGGGTTGCACAATAAAAATGCAGTAAATCATAGAGAAAAAAACTGCATGCAGCCAAAGAACACACTTAGCAGTGCTGAATCTGAAGAAAAAAAAAACTTTTGTTATTATAGAGTTTTCATTTTTGTTGATAATTTTATTATAGACTCTCTGCCTCAGAACTTTGCTTATTTATAATTAGTTAGAAATGTGAAACAAAGAAAAGCAAATAAAAAAAACAACAAAAGAATGGTAAACCTTTTTGAATGAATCAGCATGGTATCATCGTTAATCTATTGACCAAGCTGGAAAGATAACACAGGAAGGTCTGTTGCTACAACTTTAAAGAGGGATGTCACACTCTTTTGATAGTCTATAATAGGGATGTACAGATACTTTTCGATTACCAGGGCAGATACTTGGGATTTTCATGAGAACTACCAGGGTTGCAGCGGTTGCAGCTGGGACCTGGCTTTGGCACTCCACCGCTGTCCTGAAATCATTAGTCTGTATTGTTTTAGAAAAACTGTCACATGACAAACAAAAATGTATCAGTACTCGTACTTGTAAGTACTCCTACTTGCAAAACTGGTATCTGTGCATCCCTTTATTTATATTTATAAAAACAAAATCGTACATTAAAACAGAGATGTACTAATCCCAGGAGCTCCATGTGCTCCTTACAAATGACAGCTGCCTCCTAATTTTTGAATTTTTCTCTAGTCTAGTCTTGGAGCTCAAAAGTATCGGTACATGTACTCGCACTTTTACCGAGTACTGTACTTGGTATCTGTGCAACCCTAGTCTATAATTAGCTAAATTGGCAATTCAGAAACAGAATTAGAAATATTTTGGAAGGTAAAACAGTACAGATTTGTATTTATCTGTGTATATGCCCTGTGTATATGGAGTTTGGCATGAATACTGAAAGCTGTAGCAAATGGACTCTCAATTATTTTCAGGAATTTGTACCCACTGTCAATTTTAAAATCCCAAATCAAACAAAAATCACTGGGGAAAACTTGATGTATTATGTGCAATAAGGTTCAGCAAGGTACCTGATTCCAATCACCACCGTTACGATTCCAAATCCCATACTAAATGCAGCACAAAGTGACCAGGCCACATAAACACACCATGGGGGCAAAACCTTGTACTCATTTAGAAAGGAAATGTCAAACAGTCCAAGATCTAGAAAATGACACAAAAACAAAAAACACATTAATACAACATGCATGCAAATGAAAATGACCTAATGTCAGTCCCTAAGATAATCCCTAAGACAAATAAAGTTTTATTTTATAACTTTGTCAATCCAGTAATAGCACTTCCCAGACTTCACCCAAGGTGATCTGAGTCCACACCTCCCTAATTATTCAATTAGAAAACCGTTTACAATATAAATACTGTGATGGAGTGTGTTTAGAAAGGACTCAGATATATATGATTAATAAGTATTTATTTAGATGCTTGTTTTTCTAAAAATCACGCAGTTCAATAAAAACATCCAATTCGCTTGAAGTAGTGCTTATGTGTGTCTCAAACTAACAGTTCTCTATCCCAAAGACTATTGCTGATACGTATATATTTGCAAACCATATTACATTAATCATTTATACATTCATGGTCATATTTATATTTCATATAGTTCTTTACAGGTATGGCACTATTAGATAAATCCCCTACGCGTTACGCTCCCAAAGGCTTCTTCAGGGGGATGTTTGTTTTGTTTGTTTGTATATATCGATTTTCAGCAATAATCTGTTTTTTAAACATATAATACAATATAAATTAATATTAATCCATGAGATAGAATCAATACAAAATACACTATATATCCATAAAATAGGGGATTTATCTAATAGTGCCATACCTGTAAAGAGCTATATGAAATATAAACATGACCATGAATGTATAAATGATTAATGTAATATGGTTTGCAAATATATACGTATCAGCAATAGTCTTAGGGATAGAGAACTGATAGTTTGAGACACACATAAGCACTACTTCAAGCGAATTGGATGTTTTTATTGAACTGCATGATTTTTAGAAAAACAAGAATCTAAATAAATACTTATTAATCATATATATCTGAGTCCTTTCTAAACACACTCCATCACAGTATTTATATTGTAAACGGTTTTCTTATTTTATAACTTGATATAAAATCCTTATATAGCCATAAGTATGGTAGCAGATATTCATTAAATTACACTGATTTTTATTTTGAAATACTAATACCCAATTGCTCCTGTGTTCCGTATTTGCATTATATATCACAATGTATCAATGTTTTCTTGAAACGTAGGGATGTGTGATTCAATTTCCTTAATAATCTCCATTTGATTTGTTGTTTGCATTGTATACTTTTCTACAGAAAGTGCTAGGTTTATGCCGCATGAAACTGGAATGTCTTTAAAATGCTTCATGTATGGACAGCATAAACATTTTAAGTTTTCAGCTCAATGACAGGTACTTTATTTGTGTTACATTTTACCTGATGATTGTTCCAAGCAAGTGCCATTTGAGCAATCCTTGATGTTTTTCAGTCCGGGTGTCTGACAATGACTAATATTACAACTGCAGTCTTCACATCCAGTGGCGCTCTGAGTAGGTGAGGGACAGCCACTTTTGTGTTTTCTTCTGCCATCTCTAGAGTGAATACTTGAAGTGGAAAATTCTCTCTATAAAAAAAGTAACATCATTTCATGCAGTAGTGCTCAGCATTCAATCACATCCACTTCTCTTTTCAAGTAAAGTCACTATAAATGATGAGTAACCAAAGGCTTGCCCTTCCCTGTAACCATAACTACCTCTGTACCCCCTGAAGTTATGTTGTAGACTGTAGAAGTAGGTACTTTCCTGCACATAGATAAAACTAAAGTATTCCAGAAGTGTAGATGGGCCAGGATAAAGCATAAAGACGCAGGGTACTGTAAGGGTTGAAGACATCTAGAGGGAGACAAAGCAGTGACCTGCTTTCTGTTCCTTACGTCTACAATCCCAATGGGGCATGGTTTTCAAGATGGGATGAAGAAGTCCAAAAGTATTTTCTATCATCACCATTGTGTACTGCATTCTTGCTGTCCACTGCCTGGAGCGTGACCCACCCTCTCCCTTTCTGCTCAACCCCCTCTCTTACTTAGTTTGTCACTGCCAGTCCTTCCCCTGGAAAGACAGGAAGACTCGTGCTTCACTATAATGTTCCCCTGCATGCAGCTCCACCTGTAGGGGTATGCCCAGGGGTGGCTCCAGACAACTTTTTTGGGGTGTGCTGTGCTGTTTCTGGGAGTATAAATTGATGAACTAAGGCACCTGACCTTAAATACCTTGTTAGAACAAAATAACATAAAAGAATTGCTTAGTCCTACCATTAGACTTCCCACTAACTTACACTATGCTGTTATGGTTTTTGAACATGAAGTCCTCTGTGTTTCTTTAAATGTATAAGGGTTTGCTTATTTCCTGTAAGATGTTGATCCATATTGCATTTGAATTCTATGTATCTGTTTATCTGTCTCATAAAATGGCTGAATATGACCCTTTGGGGCCACCCTATATGTTCTTATATGCAAAACTAAAATAACAATATGTGAAAGAAAAAATATTTAGTTCCAAAATGTAAGATGCAATGTTAAATAGGAACCATTTACAGTGTAATGAGAACAGAGACTATAGCCTCTGTCCAGCACGTTAAAACACAGAGTGCAGTAGTCAGAAGTATGCAACAGTGTCATTTACATTTCTGGTCAGCAGTGCATAAATCCCCTTATCCAAAAATAAACCATAATTGGTGACATCTTAAAGAGATTGAGAAGATAAACAAAAAGAAAAAAAAATTGTTGGCTTTTCGCTATAATGGAGGATGGAGGAACCCAGTGAGGGAAAGTCTATCATGCGTGTGAAGGTCGGCTTTAGGTGGTGTGTGGTAAGTGGTGCAGTAAATACTGTAAATAGATGTATATAATGCAAGGGCTTTCACAGTAGCTAAACCAGTATGTTTTGGAATAATTATCATTTTGCTTTGCAAGTTTAGGGGAAACAACCTGATCAGCAAAGAATCTTAGGGTTTCCCCTTTTGCTTAGTTTCTGCCTTTTATAGTTTCCATCCATTATAGTAATTTCCCATTGTAGTCCATACTTAATGTTATAGCACAGACCATTAATACCACTGTAGTAATCCTTATGGAGGATGCACATGATGTTTAGGCTTACATGCTATTATATTTCAATCATGGGCCGAGTTTGATTAGTAGACTTCACATTGATTTTTTAGGTACAGAAGACATTTTAAACAAATATTTTAAACTATGCTTCAAAATAGTAACATTTTATAGAATAATATGCATATTTTGATTATCATGACTCTTGCAGGTGTATACCTGATATTTCTTCTTCCATGTATCATATGCCCAGTACTGGAAATGCTGCCATGCCAAACTAGATTGAAGAATTGTGTCTGCTTCTTGTATATAATGTTGATGACCTGCAATTTGCAAAGATAGAGATGCTGTACATATCTATATATTTACAATCATAATTTTCTGTTTATCGTTGTACAATAAATGCAATTTATTTATTTAATATTTAATCCAATGCAGCTACTTCTAAATTAAAAGTATCAACAAGAACACTAAATCTTGGCAAAGTAATACAAAAACATTTTCCTCCCAACGCACGCCAATACCTGTGTATTATTTTTTCAGTTATGGAAAATTAATTGTTTTAATCATTGTCCATTTTTAATAAGATTCTTTACTTTGCACTAAAAAATGACACCTCCCTCCTCACCAACACATGTATTCATCTGGGATGTGAGCACAAATATTTAGAATAGCAGCACCCACTAATAGAAGCCAACCTGCTGAGTTTTCACGCTGCAATATATCAATAAATTATTTGTAGGGGAAAAACTCTAATCAGGAGATTATTTAACTCCTTAAGGACCCTTTTCCCGCCAAGGCCTTTTTTTTGTTTTGTTTTTTGCACACATGATATAGTCCACATTTTAGGACTGAAAATTACTTCAAACCCCCCAAACATTATACTGTATATTTCCTGAAAGCCAGTTGCAATTTTTGGGTATGCGCCGTGATACCCAACATATGTAGCACATTCATTTTGGTACGTAGGCGCACCCAACGCATGTTATCATTACTTCGTGCATGCTCGCGGGGACGGGAGACTTTAAAAATTTGTTTTTAAAATTATTTTTACATTTATTTTATTTAATATTACTTACAAGCCCCCCATGTGATAATATGTTGGCAGTGACAGGTCCTCTTTAAGGTTGGACAGTCGGCTTTACAATTGTAAACGGAGTCCCGCCAGGAGTCTGTCTAAACGGGCCAGCTGCCAGTGACGTACTATGTACGTCACTGGTCTCTAAGGGGTTAAAGGGACCCTCCTTGAATTTAAAGCTCACTAAAACTTGGCTCTGTCCCGGTGACCGTGCTACCCCAGTTTCCCTGTCATACGGCGCCTCCAATTCTCACATACTCCAAGACATGGAGAACACAAAGGTGGCGGTGTTGGTCTACTTCTCTCACCTCACTGCACCTTGCAGGTTATTCTCTCCCGTACCTTCTCGTCCTTTCTATCCTTTGAGGTTCACACCATCCGCCTCTTTCGCCCCTATTCACTTCGAGTTGCAGTTATTTATTATCCTCCTAGTCACTCTGGCCCATTCATTGAGCACCTTTCAGCATGGCTCCCCCACTTCCTGTCCTCTGTCACTCCCTCTGTTATTCTTGGAGACTTTAACATTCCTATTGATGCCCCTTCTAGCTCTGAAGCCTCCAAACTCCTTTCTATGACCTCCTCCTTTGGTCTCACACAATGGTCGCTTTCCCTTACCCACCAAGCCAGAGTGGACCTTATTTTTTCAACCCATTGTACAGTCTCGAACTTCTGCAACAGTCCACTCCCTCTCTCTGATCACAATCTTCTATGTTGTGATATCATCCTGCCTCTTGCCCACCCTCTCTCCTATTACACCACTTGGCCCCTCAGAAACCTTAGAACTCTTAATCTGCAGAGTTTCCACAGATGTTCACCCTTTTCTCTCTAACTACACCTGCCCCTCCACAGCCACTACCCTTTATAACTATGCCCTCTCTGCCACTTTAGATAAACTATCCCCCATCACACCCGGTACGTCAATCTAAGCACCAACCCTGGCATACTAACTTCACCCGCTACCTCCAAAAGGTGCTATAGGGTTGCTGACCAGTGTTTGAGAAAGTCGCACACTACTTCTGACTTCCTACACTGCAAACTCATGCTACGGTCCTACAGTCTTGCTCTTGCCCTAGCCAAGCAGACATACTTTACCTCCCTTATCTCCACCTTCTTTTATGACTCCAAGCGCCTATTTCAAACCTTCAATTCACTAATTCGCCCCCCTCCAATATCCTCTTTGCTACAAATTTAGCATTATTTTTCACAGAAAAGATTAACATCTGAAATGAAATCCTCCCTTACCCAACCCACCCTCTGTCCAGCCTCTTCCTCTTCACTCAGTGCCTTCTCCCAAGTTTCCGAAGTAGAGGTTTCTGCTCTTCTCCTTTACTCCTCCCCTACCACCTGTCCCCACGACCCCATTCCATCACACCTTATCCATCCTTCCTCTTCTGTAATTGTCCCTTCTCTCACCAGAATCTTCACTCTTTAACTTACTTCTGGCATTTTTCACTCTTCCCTTAAACATGCCCTCATCACACCCATACTAAAAAAAACTTTTTTCTTGACCTTGAAGCTTTGTCTAGCTATCGCCTTATCTCTCTTCTTTCCTTTGCCTCCCAACTCCTTGAAAGACTGTTGCATACCCGACTCACAGACTACCTGGACTCCAACTGCCTACTTGACCCTCTACAATCTGGTTTTCACCCCCAACACTCCACAGAGACTGCCTTGACCAAACTGACTAACGACCTAGTGATAGCCAAATCTAAAGGACGTTATTCATTTCTTATTGTTCTTGACCTTTTTGCTGCTTTTGACACTGCTGACCACCCACTGCTCCTTCTCACCCTTCACAACCTTGGCATCAATGACACTGCTCTTGCCTTATCTGGCTCCACCAACCTCTCTGTACCTCTTTCTGTTGGAATCCCACAAGCTTCTGTACTGGGTTCTCTTCTATTCTCGCGCTACATTGCCTCTCTGGGTAACCTTATCTCCTCATACGGCTTTCATTACCACCTCTATGCTGATGATTTTCAGGACTACCTCTTCCCCCAATCTGTTGGCTCATGCAACTGATTGCCTGTTTCAAAATCACTGACTACCTACTTCCTCAAACTGAACCTCTCTAAGACTGAACTCCTGGTGTTTCCTCCCTCTAAGGTTACCCCCATGTCCATCTCTCTTCAGGTTGATGGAGTTACCATTTCCTCTTATCTGCAGGCACGCTGCCTTGGTGTGCTTTTTGACCTCTCCTTTTCCCCTCACATTCACTCCATGAATCCGCTTTCATCTGAAAAACATCTCTCAAATTCAACCTTTTCTCACTGGGTAAACCCCCAAAATGCTTGTCCATGTGCTAATCATTTCCCAACTTGACTACTGCAACCTTCTTGTCATCGGCCTGAAACATGCCCAGATTGCCACCCTTCAGTCCATCATGAACGCTTTAGCCAGACTCATTTACCTTACCTCCCGCTACTCTCACATGTCACCCCTGTCAATCTCTGCACTGGCTTCCTGTTTCTTTTGAGAGTCACTTCAAACTGCTTAGCCTTACCTACAAAGCTCTGCATAACCACACACCGGCTTACATTTAATCCCTAATTAGAAGATGTACTCTAAATTGGCCCCTTCGTTCCAATAATGACCTGAGACTATCCTGCTCACTCACCCACACACCCAACTCTTGTCTTCAGGACCTCACTAGAGCTGCCCCCACCTTATGGAATTTTCTCCCACGCCACATCATGCTTTCCCCATCCCTACAGGGCTTTTAAAAAATTCTTCAAAATGCACTTCTTTAGAGAAGTGAATCTGCTCTCCCCTTGATTTCTTACCCTATACAACCTTCCCTTCTGCTCCCATTTCACAGTACCCCCAAATCCCCTCCTATTTTATTTGGTACACATCTGCAGTCTCCCCTTCCCCACCTGTGTCTTTGGTCCCCTTCATCTTAGCATTTAAGCTCATTTGGGCAGGGTCCTCCTCACCTACTGTTTCTGTATGTCAATGATGCTAGTCAGTGTTTCTAACTTGTCTTGTCGAAACGATTGTACAGCACGGCAGAATATGTTGGCACTATATAGATAAATAATTGTAATGGTAAAACTGAGAGCTCTGTAAATTATGTAATTGTTATGAGCATAATGGACACAGGCACAGGTGAATCTACTACATCATGGTGTGGTGTGAAATTATGTTTTTCTCTGACAGCTGTGCTCAAGAAGATGGGTGTGGGTTTAACAGGTAGAGTCCTTGAATAACTCCTTTTTCCTAATTTCTTCCAAGAGTCAATTAACCTGGAAGTGCTCATATCTTTCCTTAGTAAAAATACATTCCTTAATAAAAAAGTGAAAACATATACTGTGTATGCACATAAAATATACTGTATATGTACATGCAAAGAGGAGCCCCATACAGTTAGTTTTCAAGTCAATACAGTTCTAAGTCTAGATGTAGCCATTGCTAATTAATGATGTAGAAATGCACTGTTAATTTTAAAGCAGAAGTAAACCGTTTTGATTTGTTCTTTGGAAGTTCTCTGCAGCTATTGGGTGGCCAGTAATGATGTAACTCCTGCTTAAGCGCACAGGAGTCACAATCTCCGCTGCACCCGGCCGATTTACGGCATCTTAGAGATATGAGTGTGCACAATGTACGGTGCATGCGCTGTGCAGTGTGGCCACACAAAAAAAAGATGGGAGAAAGAGGGATATTTTTTTTTTTTTGGGGCAAAAGAAACTTTGAATGGCTCTTCTGCCCAAAATTCCTCCCTCCCAGAGATTAAATTTGTAGTTTATATTGTGCTTTTGTATGTTAATTAATATAGTTTGACAACATTGGTAGGCGTATAATGGGATATACAAAATCAGGGATTCCATTTTGTAATCCTTTATTTTTTATGTGATACACTTTCATCATTTAATTGCATTTTATTGGTGCATGTGCCAAAATGTGAAAACTGGTAAAACCATATCTGGTGTGCAACAAAAGACCTATCCAACGGTGTTGAAAGGTTATTATTTTTTTGCGATTCTTCTCACCTTCATGATAATTTATATTAGAGGCCTTAATCCTAGAATGGTCTTCTTTGAGATATTTATTCACCTTCTACAAAAGGACGAAGAAACACTGTGAATGTTAGTCTGTTACAGCAAGATATTTTATATTGTACATTATAATAAATGAAGGTTAAGACTTACTGGAATTTCATCTTACCTTACTATACCTATACAGAAGTGATAATAATAATGCAATTGGATACACAACCATTGTAGATTGAAATCCAGATATCAGGGAAGTGGTAGAAATGTCAATGAGTCCATTCTCAGCAGTATACTTAAAATTCTATGCAAAAAACAAAGTTAGAACATGTTCAGAGTTAAAATAACAAGGCACAAATGGTTATTCTTAGTTTTCTTAATGTAAACATTACAATTGTATAAACATTTATAAATGTGTAAGATTCATCATATGCAAAATTTGGTGGTTAAAATGTCATTACTTTATGACTTTATGACTTTTAGAAATATAAGCTTTTTGTACTATAAAATCTTTTTCTTTAAGTCTATTGAGTAACAAAGGACTTTAGTAATTTTAGACAATTGGGTTATACTGCGGAGGTTGGGACACTAGCAAACAAAAAATGTTAAGCCAGAGCCTCTGTATAACCTGTGCCCCTCAATGGACTTTAAGAGATTTTACAGCGAGTACAAAAATCTTTTATTCTGTATCGTTCATTGAGGGACACAGAACTTTAGTAATTCTGAGACAAATAGGACGTCCAAAGCAGTGCAACAGAGGTGTGCAAAAGTCACTGAAAAAGACGTGGATGTGGAACAGATGTGGAAATTATATCACAAAGGGTATCTGAAGGGCCTAACACAAAAACATTAGATGAACCAGGACCAACCAAAATAAAATTGCAATGACTCAGGGGGGGGGTTCTGAGGATCAACCTAGTCCTCCAGACCAGGACAGGTAATCACCAGAAAGGAAAAACTCAGACCAAACGCTGAGGTGACTGTCTAAAATCCAGATTCTCTAACTCAAAGGAAGAAATAAAAAAAAGGATTACGAGACAGCACAAAACGAGGGACCATGCTAAATGGAATGCCCAAACAATTCCATGAGCCCCATAAGAGGTAAGGGACAAAGGTTCACAATGAGTGTAGACAATAAGACCCTTGGCTTAGCACAAAGTGTGAACAATTGGAACACTGATTCTCTTCAATGGAGGTCTCCTGAGCATTCCACAGTGGGTATGCCAAGAAAAAGGCACCAGGGTAGACATAGGGATCAGTGCCATTAGAATAGGGTCTGAAACTGGAGGACGCTGAAGAGTCAGGTCTTTACAAGGTACAGGAGCAGTAAGAGTTGATCCCTGTTGATTTTGCAGACCTTGATATTCCCTAGGAGAGGAATACGGTAGAAGCAGAATTCTGTAAAGCAAAGTAAAATATGATACAGTGGTATTGGTATGCTTATTAAGCTGTAAGGCTGGAGAGTCTACAATGGCCAGAGATTGCTCCTCAATGGATTCCTTTTCAAAGGGAAAACACTCCTTCACATTGTCAGGAGGGAGCCATGATTCCATAGGTTGTCTCCAGTCCTCATAGAGGAATGTTTTAGGAGTGTATTGGGAAAGTCTAAAAGATCTTAAGCCTAGAACATCAGACTGATCCTCCAATTGTAGGGCAGAACATACTTCACCAGTCAATATCTAGAATGCATTGTGAGTCCTATGGAAATTGCTGAAAGACAGTTTTTTCAGGAGAAGTCTGTGAGGACTCTGAATCTGAATCAGAGATGGTAACAAGGGCGTCAGGTACACTTAGAGGTGGAGGTCCAGTAGAGTCAGAATTTAATTATATTGTGGATACACTGGAACATGCTCCTGGATAAGCTCTAAGCTCCTGCAGGAATAATTATTCATTATTGTGCACAAACCAACAAAAAATCCAGGGGTTAGGGGTCTTGTGGACCCGTGGGAGATCTCAGCTTTATACTGCAGAACTATACAAGACTCCTGAAGAAATCAATATGGTAATACGGGTCCCAGGATCTAGGGTACAGGCGTCACTCCCTTTTGGGGATACCAAAAATGATCATCTAGCAACAATGGACAGTTGCTCAATGGGACAGTCCTCAACATTTTACAATGCATAGTGGAGAACAATTGGGACCAAAGCAAAAGAAGGCCTTGCATACTCATAAACCTGAGCAGCGAATGCTGTAGGGTCATAGGCAGCCAGGGGTGACCAAGTTACTGTAGGCAGGCAGCTGAACAACACTGAATACTGGATGATGCAAAAAGCACTTGGGAAGCAGCAGTAGCAGGTAGAGGGTACTTTGACTAGACTCAAATGTGGAAGAGGAGCATGGATTGTGCACACGCAATACTCCACCTAGTGGATGACACCAGCGCTCAGTTCCCTCAGCATTTACTGTTACTGGTTACGCGTTTTGAGGCGGGAGGGGGCGTAGCAGTGCATTGAATTCAATAGCGCCGCTTCCATGCCCCCCTGCCCGCAGTGCGATCGGACGCAAGATAAAACTTTGCCAGCGTTCCGTTCTACTGCAAACACAAAAAAAAGAGCAAGCCCTATTTTTTGCATTTGCAGTGGAACGGAATGCTGGCAAAGTTTTGCCACGCCCCCGATCGCACTGCGGGCAGCGGGGCGTGAAAGCGGTGCCATTGAATTCAATGCACCGCCGCGTCCCCTCCCGCCCCAAAATGCGGGGGCAAGTTTCTCAGCGATCGCGGTGCGTTCCAGCAGCTTCCGCTCTGGAACGCACACGCTTTCGGTGTGAACAAGGCCATAGGGATTAGTGACGCACTGGATGCAGGGATTAGTAACGCGCTGGATGCAGTGATTAGTGACGCGCTGGCTGGACTCTGGGATTAGAGACGCGCTGGCTGGATGCAGGGATTAGTGATGCGCTGGCTGGATGCAGGGATTAGTAACGCGCTGGACGCAGGGATTAGTGAAGCGCTGGCTGGACGCAGGGATCAGTGACGCGCTGCCTGGACGCAGGGATCAGTGACGCGCTGCCTGGACGCAGGGATTAGTGACGCGCTGGCTGGACGCATGGGATTTGTGACGCGATGGCTGGACGCATGGGATTTGTGACGCGATGGCTGGACGCAAGGGATTTGTGACGCGCTGGCTGGACGCAGGGATTAGTGACGCGCTGGCTGGAAACTTGTTATATGCACAAACCATTGGCCTTATTCAATAGACAGTGCAAAGAATAAAACATTTATTGCAAGGGACAGTAACCAAATGAACACAATCAGAAGGTACCTTGTTGAAGTCAAGCAAGTTCAACATGCTTTTAGTGCTTTGCTTCTTGCACAGCTTTATTGATATCACACTTTCTTGTATTCATTTAGCATCGGGTTTGTCCTCTTTTTGAGGTGCTTGGTTTCCGGCCAATCTACTAACACCCTCTTTTTTAAAAGACTAGTGTATCTGTTGCTCGGCATTCAAGCAACACATCATAACACTAGCTGTCGAACTCCCTGTGTCTCCAGCAAGCTTCCATGCTTCCTGAGTATTCTATTACCCCCCACCAATGCAACGATAGTACCGATATTCAAAAAAGGATCAAGATGCCAACCTGGGAACTACAGACCAGTCAGTCTAACATCAATAGTATGCAAACTGTTTGAGGGAATGATAAAGAACTATTTAGTGGATTTTGTTTGTGACAAAAGGTATAATAAGTGATCAGCATGGATATATGAAGGACCAGTCTTGTCAGACCAACCTACTAACATTTTACGAGGAGGTGAGTAGAGATCTGGATAGAGGAAAACGAGTGGATGTGGTGCACCTGGATTTCGCAAAAGCATTTGACACAGTACCACCCAAACGCCCAATACAAAATATCAAATCTATGGGCATAGATGAAATGGTGGGTATATGGATAAAGAACTGGCTACAGGAACGTGTCCAGAGAGTATTGATAAGTGGCTCTTTTTCACATTGATCTACAGCAGTGAGTGTCATGCCCCAGGGTTCTGTGCTAGGCCCCATACTGTTTAACCTGTTTATTAATGATATTTGGGAGGGATTGGCCATGTTTTGGTGTTTGCAGATGATACTAAAATTGGGTGGGTAATAGACACGGGCATAGACAGTATAACATTACATGAGGACCTGAATAAAATAGGGGAGTGGGCAGATGAGGTTTAATGCTAAAAAATTTAAAGTTATGCACTTTGGGGTTAAAAACAAGGAAGCGGAATACACATTAATGGGTGCTCCACTAGGGTAGTCAGAAATGGAAAAATATTTGGGGGTCACAGTTGACCACAGATTGGATAACAGAATGCAATGCCAGGCTGCGGCAACAAAACTAATTAAGGGGCTTGAGGATCAAAGCTATGAGACAAGGTTCCTAAATTTAAACTTGTTCACCCTGGAAGTGAGGCGATTAAAAGAGGACATGATTTTAATGTACAAAATGTTTAGTGGAAATAGCAAAATCAGCAATAAACTTTTTACTGTAAACTCCCTAACAAAGACTAGAGGCCACCACCAAAATTGGTGGAGAAAAGATTTAACCACAAAGGGCATAGGGGCTTCTTTTCAGTCAGAGTAGTCAATTTTGGAACTTTGCCAGAAGCAGTGGTATCAGCAGAGAGTATTGAATCATTCAAAAATCAATTAGATACCTTCCTCAGAGACCGTAACATACAGGGGTACAGGTACTTTTAAAAGCTTAGACCACAAAGGGACGCATACACACACATGCACGCACAACACACACACACACAATGGTTGAACTCGATGGACCTGTGTCTTTAATCGACCTCAAATACAATGCAACTATGTAACTATCAGATCTGTTTGCTGTTACTAGTGTTTCCTTAGACTTCGGACAGTATTCTGTCAGCTGAATCTGCACAGGTTTGTTAGTGGGCCGCAACCTTGGACTTGTCCTACAGCAAAACCCATCAGCCCTTGCAGGGGGCTCTGGTGAATATCTGGAGCTCTTTGGACTCTGTGCCACTATCACACCCATGCCAAGTGTGCAGTCATTCTGATCCCCGCTCTCCCTGGTGTCACTTCATCTTCATCCAGTGCCTGACTGCCCCATGCACCCACAGAGCCTGCGTTCCAGTGAATACAGTCCCCCGACTGACAACTGAATTAACCCAATATATGTTTTTACTAGGATGCACCGATACCGATACTAGTATCGGTATTGGTGCCGATACAGAGTATTTGGGTGCTACATACCTAGCACGAGTACTTCCTGTATCAGAAAGCCGGGCAGCACATCATTACACGCTGCCCGGTTTCCTGATTGGCCAGGAAACGGAAGCTAACAAATCAGGAAGCCGGGCGCCGTGTAATGAATGAGCACCCGGCATTCTGATTGGCCGGGAAGCTGCCGTCATGCTCCCTCGTCATCTCATGAATCATAATATTAAGAAAGTGACCTTAAAGCATTAGTTTGTATTGCTTTAGAAAAAATGTGACCTGTCCCTTTAAGAAAAAGTATCGGTAATTGGTATCTGCGAGTACTTGATCAAAAGTATCGGTACTCGTACTCGGTCTTAAAAAAGTGGTACGGTATATTAAGCTGTCTGACTTTATAGCTTACCCAGAACGCAGCAGAGAAAGTTTATATTCTATTAGAGGAGTTTGGGAATGTGTGATGGGGTTGTTCTGTAATTTATACTTGCTCAGATACCTAGTTTAGATCTACTCAGCTAGGACATACCAGACACCACTGACAATGCTTCAGCCGCATGCTAACAGCATGTATGACATTTAAAAAAAAAAAGATTATTCTATGGCACTGACAGCTCTAGCAAGATGTTAAGTATCGGCAAGTGACTCTGGTGTCAGCCTCAGCACTGCAAGTATCAGCATGACTCTTTTCAGGGAGTTGCGGCCTCTACCACACGATTCACCTCCTGAGTCTCTCTGCTTACAGACAGCTCGGGACAGGCCTACTCCAGAGCTTCGCCAAGCTACTACAAGTGTGTAGTAGTGGCAGGTAGAGGGAGTCTCGGAGCTGCCAGGGCTGCAGGATGAAAAAGAACATTCTAACATTCTAACTATCAGCATGTGGTTCATACACTGACAGTGTCAGCATAAGTCATGACATAGCTGCAAATAGTAGGATCTGACACTCCCAGAAAAGTTACTATTCACTTTACGGGGCTTGTAAATAAAATAAAAAGCTGCAAAAAGCGCAAGTGTTTATTATTCTTGATGTTTTAAAAAACACATTCGAAATGAAAACTGGGTCTCTTTAAGGGTATAAATAAGTCTTTCCACAATTTTTGCTCAGTTAACATACATTGTGTTAGCTATGTTAAACATAAATTACTGTGTTGTTAATAAAACCAAAATAAACCATACCTGATCAACTTTCCAGTGAAGGAGGATGATGTTGAAACACATATACCCCAAACACAGGACAAAACATGTGGTTATTCTTTGAGTATGACTGAACCAACTGTAAGATGGTCGGCTAAAGACTGAACCCCAGCAATGGAAATCCTCCAAATATTGTGTGAATTTGCAGTAGAAGAGCTGGTATCAAAATGTACAGAAAAATATTATACAGCATGATAGACAATTTGCTCTACTTTACCAACATTAAAAGGTACCTATAGACATAAGACAGGGGCTAGAATATACTGTATGACCACTGCATGATTGTTTTAAGGACATGCATAACTGTATGTCTAAATTCACATGTGTATGCCCTGCGTGGACACCCCTGGCACAAGCCCTATTTATGGCAGCAATTGCAATCAACAAGGAAAATTCTTCAGCTCAGCAATAACTGCACAGATCTTCAGTAGACATAAGATAATATCCTAATCTAACTATTATTACTGACCTGATAAGGTGACAATTATATTATACCAGTTATATTATATAATAGCATCTAATGATTGTTTAATGGTATCATTCAAACTGAGCATTTACATGTGTTTAGGTGCAGTCAGTTTAGCTGTGTTTAGTGAAAATAGAATTATGTGCGTCCCGGATTGGATTGGAAACTCTAACCATGGCTAAATGCATAAACACATGCAAATACTTAAAAAAGCATGTAAACCTTGCTAAACCTGATCAAAGCAGGAACATCAAACACAGGAGAAAGTGATCTGGGAAGCAAAAAAGTTGTTTATATTTCCCAGATAACTTCTCCTGCATTCGATCATCTAAACACAGGAGTGCCAGTGTTAATTTAGTAGGGATGTCCTGATACCACTTTTTAAAGACCAAGTACACGTACTTTCCCTCAGGTACTTGCCGATACCAATTACTGATACTTTTTCTAAAAGGGGCATGTGACATTTTTCTAAAACAATACAGGCTTATGATTTTAGGGCAGTTTCTTTATAATTATGAAGAACTTTAACTCAATCTATGATTATAGTTGTCCTGATACAAAAAATTATTTTAACCAAAACCACATTGACTGTGCTAGGAAGCACTGGGTCTCATTGGTGGGCACAGAATCCTGACTGCACTGACCAACGAGTACTCGCAATTTCTGAGTGAAATTCAAAATCCATAGCGCAGGGCTGCACTGGACGGCAGTATGGGGTGCCGATAGTACACAAGTACAGGAGGAGACCGTTAACTAAAAGTTAAGTATGGGGAGAGGAGGGGGAGGGGTTGGAGTGTTAGCCAGATTTAAGCAGGTAATTGCATTTTCCCAAATTACTTGGGAAAGTGAACTTACCATTTAATGTGCATTGTGCGTGTTAGAGAGTGCTACTGCCCTACTACCAAAATATGGCACACAGTGGAATGAGAGCAACACACACACACACACACACACACACAATGTGTTTTCATGCATTTATCTTTTTGACCTTTTTAGCACTTTCATTTTTTTTTCTAATTTGTATTTTTTAATCACTTTCATTTTTTTTCACTTAACTTTATTGATATCACACATGGGGTGTGATATCATTTGGAGGTGACAAGTTCTCTTTATGAGCCTGCCATCCAATACAGAAGATACAGCACAGCATGTATCGTCTGTATTTGGGGACCTGCGTCACAGATTACAGAGCAGAGCTGAGAATGGATGTTTTCGGCTCTGCTCCCTATTCTGAACTACTTTACCGAGGTCCCAGGTCCCCCAAAAGAGCCGGGGAGCCTGAAAACCATGGCCGGGAGGGG